TTGATAACCTTCTTTTGGACATAGACAAAGCTGATGCCATTGTGAAGATGTTAGATGCAGGTGTGTGCTTAGAGGCTGGGGCCATCTTGGCTAGGAATAGAAGCCAGAGTTCTTGGGTTATGACCTCTGCTCTTGTTGTTGATAGCTGTCATTAAGATGGAAGGTGGCACAGAGAATGACCTCCGAATCCTGGAGCAGGAGGAAGAGGAAGAACAGGCAGGCAAGACTGGGGAGGCCAGCAAGAAAGAGGAAGGCCGCGCCGGGCCAGGCCCGGGGGATGCAGAGCGTAAGGTCAATGATAAGGATGAAAAGAAAGAAGACAGCAAACAGGTGAAGCGGCCGGGGCTGAGAGAGCCGCAACCTCCGTTTGGGGGATGGTGGGGGGGGCACTCTGATGTGTTCAGAGGGAAAGAAACTGTCCCCTGTTACAGGCTGAAAATGACAGTTCTAATGATGATAAAACTAAGAAATCTGAGGGTGATGGGGACAAGGAGGAGAACAAAGAAGAGGCTGAGAAGGAAGCCAAAAAGGTAAGGTGTGTCTTGCATGAGGCCAAAGTGAAAGGGCTGAATCCTGGGTGGTCTTGATTGGCCTGCTGCTGTTGCTCCCACAGAGCAAGAAGCGGAACAGGAAGCACAGTGGCGATGACAGCTTTGATGAGGGTAGTGTATCTGAGTCCGAGTCCGAGTCCGAGAGTGGTCAAGCTGAGGAGGAGAAAGAGGAGACTGGTACGCTTTACTTGTCTTGCTTCTGGGCTGGGGGAGCGGCGGGGGGCGGGGAAAGGACATGCTCCAGAGAGACTGACTGGTGGGAAGGGGTCCTTGTGGGGTGATGTCTGCTTCCTCTAAGTGAATGCTAAAGTTGTATTAACTCCTTCTGCTTAGAAGAAGCACTTAAAGAGAAGGAGAAGCCCAAGGAAGAGGAGAGGGAGAAGCCTAAGGATGCGGCGGGGGCGGGGCTGGAGTGTAAGCCCCGGCCCCTGCACAAGACTTGCTCTCTCTTCATGCGCAACATTGCCCCCAACATTTCAAGGGCGGAGATCATTTCAGTAAGTGGGAACATTGGTCTTGTGGGCAGGGCTAACTAAAGTTCCAGTCCTTCTGGTACAGGCTGCCTTTGGCATAGGGAGGCCTGGTTTGCTGTGCTTTGAGGTTCTTGGGTGTTGGGAGATGAAGGACACTTTTTTTCTTTCTTTCTTTCTTTTTTTTTTTTTTTTAAAGATTTATTTATTTGCTGCATATACACTGTTCTGCCTACATGCCAGAAGAGGGCACCAGATTGAATTGTAGATGGCTGTGAGCCACCATGTGGTTGCTGGGAATTGCACTCAGGACCCCTGGAAGAGCAGTCAGTCCTCTTAACCTCTGAGCCATCTCTCCAGCACAAAGGACACTTTTTTGGTTTTTCGAGACAGGGTTTCTCTGTGTAGCTTTGGCGCCTGTCCTGGAACTCACTCTGTAGACCAGGCTGGCCCCGAACTCTGTAGACCAGGCTGGCCTCGAACTCAGAGATCCGCTGCCTCTGCCTCCCAAGTGCTGGGATTAAAGGCGTGCACCACCACCTCGAGGTGAAGGACACTTCTTTAGGGTTCTATAGGAGTGAATTGAGTCACTGTATGGCTTTTCTTTCTCTTTCCTCAATTCTTGCAGCTTTGTAAAAGATACCCAGGCTTTATGCGCGTGGCATTGTCGGAGCCCCAGCCCGAGAGGAGGTGAGGATCCTAGACACCTTGGGGTGGTGCAGGGAGACAAGGCAGTGAATGGTCACACAGGCTGCCCCCCTAGACTATGCTGACAAGCTTTCTTATATAGGTTTTTTCGCCGTGGCTGGGTGACTTTTGACCGCAGTGTTAACATTAAAGAGATATGTTGGAACCTGCAGAACATCCGAGTAAGTGCTGGGTTTGGGACTGCAGGGAGCATCTCCAGGCTCTGCCTGTCTACTCCTTCGTGTCCATTGAGAAGCTGTGGGGCTGTGACCATGTTCAGTCCCCTTTGGTCCCTGCCCTTGGGGAGTCTGGGTTTAACCACCCAGCCTTCAGGGTGCAGCTTCTGGGGTAGTCATTGGCCAGTTTGTTGATTGTGTCCCTGCAGCTCCGTGAGTGTGAACTGAGTCCTGGTGTGAACAGAGACCTGACCCGTCGTGTCCGCAACATCAACGGCATCACGCAGCACAAGCAGATAGTGCGCAATGACATCAAGCTGGCAGCCAAGCTGATCCACACACTGGATGACAGGACCCAGCTCTGGGCATCTGAGCCTGGGACACCTCCTGTGCCCACAGTCAGTGACTCTCGGGATTGTTTCCAGTGCACCCAAAGCTCCTTGTGCTACCTCTACCTCGTTTCCCTTTTCCCTAGTTATGTCCAGAAGTGAGGAGGGGGAAGTATAGGACAGTTCAGTCTGTGACTGACTGAACAGCCAATCGAGAAAACTCTCACTACCCCTCAGACCTGCCTTCTTACCTTATTTTCTTATTTTCATGACCCCTGGGTCCTACCCACAGCCTCCCTTATTTGCCCCCTTGTCTGGGTGGTCTCTTCCACGTATTTCAACAATATCATAGTTACTTCTGGGCTAGGAAGGAAGAGTCAGGAGTGTGGCGAGGGGTAGGAAGTCTCTCCCTCTTGGGTGTCCCAGTTTCTGGGTTGATTTTCCTGCCTTATTGTCCCATCTCCTCCCTGTTAGAGCCTGCCCTCACAAAACCCCATCCTGAAGAACATCACTGATTACCTGATTGAGGAAGTGAGTGCTGAGGAAGAGGAACTACTGGGGAGCAGTGGAGGACCCCCTCCTGAGGAGCCTCCCAAGGAAGGCAACCCAGCAGAAATCAATGTGGAGAGGGATGAGAAGCTGATCAAGGTGCCAGTTGTGACAGTCTGGGGTAGTGTGGGCCTGGGGGTACAGGGCTGAGTAGTGACCTTGTGTCTCAACTGTCTCCAGGTCTTGGATAAACTCCTTCTCTATTTGCGTATTGTGCATTCTCTGGATTATTACAACACTTGTGAGTACCCCAATGAGGATGAGATGCCCAACCGCTGTGGCATAATCCATGTCCGGGGACCCATGCCGCCCAACCGAATCAGTCACGGAGAAGGTACATTCCAAGACCTCTAAGTCTTTTGTGTCCAGCCCCTGTCTTCTGTCCTTCCTTTTCCCCCTGCTTCCAGCTCCCTTTCAGCCTGCTCTCTTATCCACACAGTGCTGGAGTGGCAGAAGACGTTTGAGGAGAAACTAACCCCCCTGCTGAGTGTTCGTGAATCCCTTTCTGAGGAAGAGGCCCAGAAGATGGGTCGTAAAGACCCTGAACAGGAAGTGGAGAAGTTTGTTACCTCCAACACACAGGAACTGGGCAAGGATAAGTGGCTATGTCCTCTCAGTGGCAAGAAATTCAAGGTCTGGGATGTGAAAAGAATTGGTGGGTGGATTGGGAGGTGGCTTTGGGGCATCAAGACCCCCTGAAGGACTGGAGGGAGCTGCAAGACCTTCAGGTGGGGCTCTGGAGGAAAGAGACTGCAGCATGCTCTGCCCTCGTCTGGTCCTCTCCACCCAGGGCCCTGAGTTTGTGCGCAAGCACATCTTCAATAAGCACGCGGAGAAGATCGAGGAGGTGAAGAAGGAGGTAGCATTTTTTAACAACTTCCTCACGGATGCCAAGCGCCCAGCATTGCCCGAGATGAAGCCAGCTCAGCCACCTGGCCCTGCCCAGAGTAAGATACGATCCATGGGGGCTGCCACATCTCTCTCCTTGAGAAGTGCACCCCACTAATCTCCAGGCCCTATTCCTAGAACCCTTGTCATCCCCCTTCCTCCCCCGCAGTAATTCACATTCCTGTCTGTGTTGTACTCCCCCCAGGCCTGACCCCAGGACTTCCCTACCCACACCAGACGCCACAGGGCTTGATGCCCTATGGCCAGCCCCGCCCTCCCATCTTGGGCTATGGAGGTGAGTCTGGAAGGGCTGTGGGGCCCGGGGCTTGGTGTTTGTGGGGGGCTACAGAGCTTAGCTAGGCTGAGGTTGAGGTCAGTTTTTAGTTCAACCTGGGTCTTCCTCATAGCTGGTGCTGTCCGCCCTGCAGTCCCAACAGGAGGGCCTCCATATCCCCATGGTCCGTATGGCGCTGGGCGCGGGAACTATGACGCTTTTCGAGGCCAAGGAGGATATCCTGGGAAACCTCGGAACAGGTGCGTATGAAAGGAGAGACCCCAGCTCCCTCTCCTCCCCTGCCAACCAGGGGTTTCTGTTGACATCACACTTGTGTATGTCATAGGATGGTTCGAGGAGACCCGCGGGCCATAGTGGAGTATCGGGACCTGGACGCCCCAGATGATGTTGATTTCTTTTGAGACATCTGCCGCCCTCACTCTACATCTGCTGCCCTCTATCCCCGGGACCACTTTACCCCATGAGCTGACAGGTTTTTTGTACGTTATTTTTCCTGCTAGTTAAAAACAAAACAAAACAAAACAAAAAAACCACTTTGGTAGTGTCTTAACAGTGTAGTACGCCTTTTCCCAAACACAGGCTGGACCACAGTGAGCTGAATCAATGCCATTTTATTATTTTCACAACAGTGCCTCTCTCTGTAACCTTGGCTAGCCTAGAACTTGCTGGGTAGCCCAGGCTGGCCTTGAACTCATATCTACCTGCCTGTGTCATTGTCCCTAATCTCTGATTTTGGTGCTGGAAGAGAGTTCTCTGCTGGGGGCCTGTCTCACAGTGCAGGCAGGGTGTGTTGAGTCAGGTACGTCTGGTCAAGCACAGGTTGTAGAAGGAACTGGAATCAAAGACACTGCTTACCTTTCGCCAGCCCACCCACCCAGCAGCTTGCAGCTCACTACTGTTTTTCGGAGTGCCCCAGTAGTGTGGATCCAGTATCAGGACATAGGCCTCCGTAGCTGGGCCCTCACAGACTCCCAGCAAGGCTTTGGACTGAGCATCTGCGTCCCCTCCTACCATTACTGGGCCGCCGCCCTCCGTGAAGTGGAAATAGAGTCGCTCCAGTTCTGGGAGAACTCCTGCTCCACGGGGCACGTGGCATAGGCGCCCCTGAGGTCCTCCGAAGTGTTCAAGGCAGAGGCTAGCTTCCACACAGCCTC